TCGTTGGTGCGGGGAGCAGCACGGACGCGATGCGGGTGAGCCGGGCGCTCCTGCCCGAGTGCCTGTGCGCGCTGGTGGCCGCCGGCCTCGGCGTCACCGCGGCCCCGGCTCCGCAGCCATGGCGCCAGTCCCCAGGTAAGGTGCACGGTGTCTTGTCGTCCTCCCCGGCATGCAGTAGCTTCCCCCTGGGGTGCATTAGCTTCTCGGGAGCGCCAAGATGGTGTTGGGACCGCAGCCGGGGTCTGCAGCCCTCCCCAGGCTGCTGGGCACGGAGGGGCCGCGCTGGGTTCGCCCGTGCCGCAATGCTCTTGTGCGGCGGGGCTGGCACCGGCAGGGCACATCCCACATCCTGCACCCGGGTCCTGCTCCCGCCCCACGTCAGGCAGGGAGCACCCCGGCGCTGCCTTTCCTGGGCTGGCAGGCGCTGGGGGAAGCAGCAAGGGCTTTACCCCCTGCTCAGGTGCCGCTGGCAGAGCCGGGAGGGCGCAGCCGGGCTAATAAACTGATTTTCAGTCATTTTGCACCTTCCCGCAGAGGTTTCGGTGTTCGATGCTGCCTGCCCGTGCGTCCCTTCGTGCTCCCCACTGTCCCCAAGCCCAGCACGGAGCGCACGGGAGGCTGCCGTGAGAGGGCAGCCGTGCCCCGCGCGTGCCGGGGAAACCCGGCTCGGTGCCCGCGGGCGCCAGGCTGGCGGGTCCCCCCCTCCCCGCCTGTGCGAGCCGGGGTTTCCCGAGAGCCTCCGGCCCTGCTCTTTGCAAGCACTTTGCCAGGGCTCCTCTGGCCAACTGGGAAGAAAAGCGCTAAATTCAAGCGGTGTTTTACCTTGGAGCGTCGCTTTAAGCACAGAGAAGGGTTCAGGTGCGGAGCTGAGCGGAGCGGCCCCGCGGCTCAGCACTGACAGGTCTCATGCCAGGCGCTGGGCTCCAGCCCTGCAGCAGGATGGGGCCCTGGGCAGCTGTTACCGTGTGATTTTCCAGCTTTTTACTCCCCCATCCTGCTTTAAGCATGTCACATTAATCCTCTTGAAGCACCAGCTGTTGCAGTAGCAGCCACTCAAGGCAAAAGGTACCGCGGCAGAAGCGGGAAAAGTGGTGCGCTCCCTGCTAATAAAATACAGCAACATATCGATGTAACCCAAATCCTGCTAGGGCTGAAGGAGAAACCTCCGTAGAGCCTGGGCCATCCCGCAGGGACCCCATGGGCAGAGCGAGACCAGCAGGTGCCAGCGCTCGCAGCATCCCCGGCAGCCTGCGGGGAGCCCCAGGACAGCGGGACCCACGCAGGGAGCACCGGGACAGGGGGACCCACGCAGGGAGCACTGGGACAGGGAGCACTGGGACAGGGGGACCCACACAGGGTGCACTGGGACAGGGGGACCCATGCAGGGTGCACCTCCACAGCGCAGCTTTTACAGCGAGAAAGGAGCTTTCGGTCCCTGAGGCAGGAACAAACTGCGGCGCAGGTTGAGGGGCTTCGACTCCTTCGATACGGGCAGATGAAACGCTCCTCAACAGCAATGAAAAGTGAGCGGACTCTGCTTTTCCAGCCTCTTACATCTGTTTTAAACTGCTTTTCCCCCATGCTCAGACAAGCAGAGGTGGCAGCTGAGGGGGATTTCTGTGCCAGGGCCCGGTGAGGGAATTGGTATTTATTTCCAACACGTTCAAAGTGGTGACAAATTCCGGAGCAGCTGTGATTGTTAAGACCTGGGATGCGCCTGGAAGCGAGCGGCCGGCACCTCCTCCTTGTGTGGCTCCGTTTTCCCTCCAGGGCTTCCCACTGGCTCAGGGCAGCAATTGAGAGGCAGAGGGAGCCTGCACCATCTTCCCGCTTTGAAGTTGGGCTTAATCCTGTTAAAAGCCCCAGGCTTCAAGCGCGGGCCCCTGATAACACGTCCCTGGAGTGTCTTGGCAGGGGCAGTCTGGAGAGGAGCCGGTTCCTCTCCTGTCCCAGCTGGAAATGCCCTGTGGGTGGCTCGGAAGCACCGGGCGTTTCACAGCAGATACCTTCCCACGAGTGGGTGCTCGCCCAGCCGTTGAGCGGGGTCCCCTCCTGCTCCATCGCCCCTGCGCTGCCCAGAGCTTGTCCGGACTCCTGTCTTTCAATCCCCCTCTGGGACGGATGTTTGGGAGACGTGAATGCGTCTCCCTGTGGAGCACCTCTCCCGTGCCAGGCCCGCTCCCGCTCGCCCTCCACGGAGCCCGCTGTGGTTCACGGGGTGAGGGGGAGCGTGTTGGCCCCTAGCCTTCCTCTTCCACCGTGTCCTGGTGGCCACGTGGCCTTGTCTCCAGCCAGCTTTGTTGCCCAACCTGTGCCAGCTGGATGCCTCCAGGCCGCAGGGCATGGGGCGAGACGGGAGCCTTCGGGCAGGCCAGGGCTGGCAGTGCCCTGACACCTCACTGACACCTCACTTGCCCCTCTTCCACCAGCTCTGCGGAGCCCCTGCAGCAGGACCCATGTGCCAGGGGGCTGTGTGTCCCCCTGCAGATGCAAGGAGCAGTGCTAGGACTCCTGGGCCCCTTCCTTGCACTTTACCCCTGGCCCTTGGTCCAGGGCCCTGGTGCAGGCAGCAGCGATGGCTTCTGCCCTGCAAAGTGACTGGCACACAGGTGAATCCAGCCAGTACCCAGGCCCTCTGCTCCCTTCCTGCCCTTGCCAATGCTGGAGTGGAGGAGCACCATGCCCAGGGGGCCGCATCCTGCCCGGCGCGGGGCAGAAATCAGCCCTGTGGCTGGGGGGTTCCTGCCAGCAGCTGGGGCCTGGCCGCTGTGCGGCTCACGCTGCCCCTCTCGCCTTAGGGAGGACTTCGCTTCCCGGCCTGGAGGAGGAGATCGATTTCCTGGCGGACGTGCTGGCCAGGCAAGATGCTGCTCGCCCGCCGCCGCTGCGTGATGGCAAAGCCCGAGGTCAGTGCCTGCGCTGCTGCCGCTGCCCCCGTGCTGCCCTCCCCGCCGTGCTGTCTCCTGTTCTCCCCAATTCCCGAGCCCAGGTGATGCGTAACGGGCAGGACCCGGCTCTCCCTCTCCGTGGGGCACCTCCTTTCTCCTTGCTCCTGATTTCACCCACGATCCTGGGCCAGCTGGTACCTGCTTTGCTCATGGTCCTGCTTCCTCCTGCAGCTGCCTCAGCCCCGGTGGGGAAGCATCGCGTTGCCAGCAGGTTGAGAGGGGTTGAGTTTCTGCAGAGGGATCCTGCCGGCACAAAGGCAGCCACGACCCTTCCCGCCTCAACAACTGAGACAGTGCAGAAATACCCTGTGGAGGCATCGCCCATCCCTTCCAACGACGCCGTGGTGCTCGGTAAGACCTAAGGGGCTCTGGGGCTCGCTGGGGAGCCCCACGGCGCAGCGCTGGGTGCTGGGCTCACCGCACTGCTCGCTGCCGCGTCCCTCCTGTGCAGGGCTCATCGTGGTGTGCACCGTGGCCGGCATCTCCGCGCTCCTCGTGGCTGCTGTCTGCTGGTGCAGGTAAGCCCGAGGCTGCTGCTCCCAGTGAGCTCCCCCGTGTCCTCGTGGTGCCTGCAGGCACTTGTCCCCACACTGCCCCAGGGAGGGTCTACAGGAGAGTAGCTCTCCTTAGTGACCAACCACAAGTGCTCCAGTGCCTGTGACCACCGGCGCGGAGGACAGTGCCATGGAACACCCACGTCCCAGGCCGGGAGCAGGGTTTGGTTTGACTTGGCATCAGGCGTTGCCTTGTGTCCCCCACCCAGCATTGCAGTCCAGGCTGGATGGGGTCTGGCAGGAGCCTGCATGAGGCTCCAGAGCGCTCAGAGCTCGTGATGCCAAAGCTTCCTGCTGCCTCACGGAGTTTTGGGGGCACAGAGGTGTTGGCACCCAACCTGGCGAGGTGCTGGCTCTGCTTGCGGGCAGCATCGCTGCTGCAGGGCGCCTCAGACCCTGCTGCACCAGATCGCTGCTTGGCCCCACTGATGTGCACTGAGTTTCAGGGGACCTCAGGTGTTTTTAAGTGCAGTTGCAGCTTTACCGCTCAGTTCCTTTCTGAGCCACCCCAAGGTTTCATGCCACGGCAGCTGCGATGGTCTCGTGCAGGGGCTGTGCTCCCCCGCGCAACCCCGTGTGGCCGTGCTCGGCCACCGCGCACCTCACCTGGGTGCTGGGCACCCCGGGGCGCTGCTCAGGGGTGCCCCTTGCAGGCAGCGAGCCTGGCGTGAGGGGCCGACCGCAGTGGGTCGCGGGGCCCAGTCGCTCGTGCCCAACGCGTCTCCTCTCCTCGGCAGGCTGCAGAAGGAGGTCAGGCTGGCGCAGAAAGCAGACTACTCGGCGCAGAGAGTGCCCAGCCCCTTGCCCTATGACAACATCTCGGTAAGGTGCCCGGGTGCCTCCTGGCAGGACATTCGGCACCATGCCAGGCCTGCGCCCCTTGGAGAGGCTCCCAAAGCGGAGGCAGGGGAGCTGCCGCCAACTTGGGCTCCGCTTTGGGCCGCTGGGCAGATCCGTGGCCTGAGGAGGGCTCGCGGGTCACCAGAGCCCCGTGTTCACCTCTGCCATTGCTCTCTTCGCAGCCTGGGGACAAGACGCTGGCTCAGAGTGCCCAGATGTACCACTACCAGCACCAAAAGCAGCAGATGCTCTCCATGGAGAAGTAAGTGACCTTGCCCTGCAAAGCACAGGCAGAAGCAGCACCCGGGCAGAGCAGCGTTGGCGGGAGCCCCAGGCGCTGGGGTTTTGCCCCAGCTGCAGCACCCTTGGCTGTGCCGTTACGCGGGAAGTCATCCCTCGGGCTTCACCTGTCCTCTCTGCCTCTTCCACAGGCATAAAGAGGAGCCCAAGCTGCCGGACTCTGCGTCGTCCGATGAGGAGAATGAGGATGGAGACTTCACTGTGTACGAGTGTCCAGGGCTGGCTCCGGTAAGGCCGCGGCTCCGCGCGGGGCACCCGCAAGCTCTGCTCCCGCAGGGCAGCACCCTCTGCGCAGCCCAGCCGCAGCGGGGCAGGGGGCACCAGGAGGGGCTCCGAGCTGTGTGGGTCCCTTGGCCACACTCTGTGATGGGGCAGCCCTGCTCCTGGCAGAACCCATCGTTCTGCTCAACTCGATCCATACGTGCTGCCGGGGCAGCTCGAGGCCCTGTGCGATGGGGCTTCTGCCAGCCCCCGTCTGAGCCCGGGCGGTGGAAGCAGGGGCAGCTCTCATGGGCGCTGGCGTTGGTGCTGCTGTAAATGTGCAGCCTGGCTTCGCTGCACACATGTGCTGAACAGGAAGGTGGTTTCTGGACATGGGAACGTTCCTGGGGTGGTGCTGCCCTGCTCTGTCTCGGGAGCATCTGTGGGCAAACCCACCCCAGCTGCCCCGGAGGTGCAGGCGACGTGGCTGCGCTGGGGCTCCTCTTTGCCAGGCCACCTCCCGGGCTATGGGCGCGGGGGCAGCCGGGCCCCAGGCCAGGACCTCCCTGGCCACTGGGTGGACCAGGGCAATCGTGACCTGAGACCCCACTCAGAAGTCCCAGAGGGGACTTTTCTGGCCCTTGGCTCCATGGGGGACCCTGGGGAAGAGCAGCTCCTAACAGCCCTTCCAGGCCGGGGTGTAAAGAGCACAAAGGGACCCAAGGGGAGCCTTTCACATGGTAATGGCTGTGGTGCCCAGCCATCAGGGCCCAGATTAAGGGTTGTCATTATGTCTTTAGAGGCCCATTAAAGGGCTGTTGATGGCACACCAGCAGTCTGGGGAACCAACCCACCCCGATCAGCGAGGCTGGTGGGTGCTGGCAGGGCAAATCAGTGCTGGGCGCGTGGGGACACTGCCCATTGCCCCCTGCAGCATCCCCTCGCCCACACGGAGATGGCACCTTGGCCAGCAGCGGGTGCTGGGTCGGGCTCCTGCCCAGCGCTGCCCCCCGCTCGCTCTTGGTTTCTGCTCTGCCCGGCTGGCGCGTGGGGGGCTGCTGGCCCTGGGGACCCTGCGCGTTGGGTTTCCCGGGGTCCAGGCCCCTTGCGCGGCTGGCGCGGGGGGCTCTGGCAGGGGAGGCCCATGCACCCAGCTGCTTTCTGACCCGCTTTTTCCCCCATCCCTCGCTCCTCCTCCCACCACCGCTGCAGACTGGAGAGATGGAAGTGAGAAACCCACTGTTCGACGACTCAACCTTACACCCCCCGAACCTCAAGTCGCACCAGTAACGCCCGTCCTCGCTCCTCGCGCCCGAGCTCGCCACGGACTGTACGCAGAACGCCCGAAGGCAGCGCAGGCAGCGCCGCCGCAGGGGCACCCGCGCCCAGCCGGCCCCCCCCGGCCCTGCCAGCCTGC